GAGGGATGGGTAGGAGAGGAGGCTGGAGGCCTGAATCCTGGCAGGAGTGGTGGGGAGAGAAGGGATGACTAGGTGAGCTGGGGGAGAGAGGAGGAGGGCAGAGTGTTGGGGGGTTCCAGGGCTTCTGGCCCCAGTGCCTGGGAAGATGGGCATGGAGGCGCCCTACACTGAACTGGGGCATGGGGCATGGGTAGTGAGGCCGGCTTCAGGGTAGCACGCCTTTGAGACATCTGAGAGAGAGGTCCGCCCCCAAGGGAAGGATCCAGACCTGTCCGCAAACAGATGCTGGCAGCAGCTCAGGAAAACCAAGGGATAGGTGGGAAGGCAAAGGGTCTGAAGGGAATGCTGGGGCCAGGGGAATTTGAGGGGTCAAAAGTGGAGCAAACCCCCCTCCATAAGAGGAGAATCCCACAAACAAGCCCTAAGCCCAGAGAAGGCAGTGTCACAGTGCAACACTTCACCTCGAGGGAACAGGTCTAAGGGTTCTGGAATTCACTTATCACTTCCCTGATGGCTCCCATGTCCCTCCCCTCTACTTATCCAAAGGGTCCACGAACGCCAAGTGGCTTACACCTGTAATCCCAGCACGTTGGGAGGATCGCTTGAGCCCAGGAGTTTGAGACCAGCCTGGGCAACATAGTGAGACCCCATCTCTACAAAAATTTTTTTTAAATTAGCTAAGCATAGTAGTGCCTATCTGTAGCCCCAGCTCCTCAGGAGGCTGAGGTTACAATGAGCCGAGAACACACCACTGGACTCTAGCCTGGGTGACACAGCAAGACCCTCTCTCAAAAAATAAATAAGTAAGGAAAAATGAAAGGGTTTGCCCATCACTGGACAGTTGGCCCATGGTTGCCTGTGGGGAGAATACAGTCAGCCTTAGGGAGGAGATGGAGACAGGAAGGGGCATAACCAGCATCTGGCTGGCTGGGGTGGGACCTGGAGATGGGAGACCCGACTGGCTCACTGAACTTTCTCTTCACCACTCACTCACAGGACCTGGGCCTTGAGGGGTCCCTCCTTACTGACATCCTCTACAGAGATGTGGCCTTCCTCAACCTGGTCGACCCCATCTCCCATGACCTGCTTGTGAACCTGGCCCGGGAACTGCAGTGCCCCAAGAAGGTGAGGCTGGCAGGCATGGGCGCTGGGCTGGGCACTGTGGTGGACAGGGGCCAGAAGAGCCCAGGGCTGAGGTCTGGGAAGCTAGGTCCTTCTATGGCTTGCTGTATGGCCTTAGGCAAGTCACAGTCCCTGTCTGAGACCTGCTGCCAGCATCAGTATATTAGGCTGGCCACCAGCTACAGCAAGTGTGAGCTGTGCTTTGCAGGACCCTCAGAGTCCTGGGCAGACCCGTTTTCTGTGTGGCAGCACTGTGCACCAGGCCTGGGGACCCAGGCAGGGGAGACTAGCTGGGCAGAAGTCATATGGGGACCCTGCGGGACACAAACTGTTCTGAGAAATCCACTAATGGAACCAAACCCCCAGCCTCTGAGTTCCTGGGCCAGAAGAGAGCCGCCCTTGGCTAGAGCTCCCTTCTGTCCACCAGTCTCCATCCTGTACAGACACCCTTGGGGACAGGTGCTCACTGCTTCCACCCACAACAGCTGGGGTCATAAGCAAGGCCCTCCTCATTGCTGGGGTGGAGTTTGCCACCTGCAGCCTCTACCCCACGGCTGCCCCACTCTGACAGCACCTGCAGATGTCCTGCCATGAGCATCGAGCCGCCATGAGGCTGCCATGTGACCAGCCACTGTCCCCCGACTCCTAGTCACAGTGAGTCCCGCACCAAAACAAGGGTATCCGCTATGGGCCCTGCCAGCTCTGAATGCCCAGGTCTCTGCATAGTCAGCCCCTAGGACTCTGAGCCTACCCCACAGCCATCAGAGGAATGGCCAGGGCTTGCAGCTGCTGTGTGTGCCGCCTGCTCCTGGGGCTGTTCACAGAGGGACTGGAGAAAGGATGCAGTGGAGCATGCTCAGTGCCAGCTTTGTGGGCCGCGCACCCTGGATTCCGCCCTGAGCTGGGCCTCTGCAGGAGCCCAGTTAGGACTAAGAGAGAGCCAGGCGGTGGTGCTGTAGAACATTACATCCCCCAGCCCTGTCAGCCCAGACCCAGACCCCACGGGGCAGTCTCGCTTGGAGAGTGAGAGGAAGAAGAACATGCTGACCTGGCTTGTTCCTACTCCCTGGGATTGGCGTCAATGGAGCAGGGCTCCCTCGAGGGGCCTGGTCTGGCCTCCTCCCCCTGTGGCAAGTCCCCGAGGGGTGCTGAGGGTGGGCAGGCAGCCGGCTGATAGCCCGAGACGCTGGCCCTGGGCCTGAGGACAGGGAACAAGGGCCCATTGTCTGGGCTTCCTCCCACCGGGCACTGCGGGACTGGACCAGCCTGTCCAGCTCCCAGAGGGCAGCCTCCCCTGGTTCTGTGCCAGGCTACAGCCGGGTTGGGGGGTGGGAGGGGGAGGCCCTGGTGGGCAGCTCAGTGATGCATGGTGCACGGCTGTGCTGACACACACACTTGGCTGCCTGGGCCCCTCTCCCCAAGGCCCTGAGGTGGGCAGGAGGGGCTCAGGTTCACCATGGTGACGCTGCCCTCCCACAGGACTACGAGCTCTGGAAGTCCTCGGAGAAGATCTGCCGACAGCTCATCTACCACCTCACCCCTCACTCGAAGCAGCAGCAAGGGTCCAGCCTGTGCCAGAGGAAGACCCAGAGCTGGTAAGGGGAGCCTAGCCACTGCCCCTCCTCACTGCTGTTCCAAGGTCCCTTCTCAGGCTGCACTCTCACCAAAAGGCTGGTGCTGAAATCCCACCTGGTGAGGCCCTCACCTGGTCCACATGAGGGCCCTACCCTGGAAGTCAGCCTGACCTGTGGCAGCAGATGCTTCCCAAGCCAAGCTGAGCCCTCTAAGTGACCCGTTTGCCATTTCCCATGGGACGGTCCTGCCTCCTGCCATTCACACGTCCCTCAATCCCTGGCCTCTTACAAGACCTGGACACCCCAGCCCTCCACCCAACAGCTGAGGTGACCTCAGAAGGCATCTTCAGCTAAGACTTCCCAACAGGTTGTGGGGGAGGCAGATTCTGGATAGTGATTCTCATTTTAGAGGGAAGGAAACTGAGGTTCGGAGAAGTGGCATACCTAAGGCCACACTCTACCCTGATTTTCCTGTACCTTGTTGGGAATTCTTTGCCACTGTCAGGCTGCCTAAAGCTGAGGCCTCCGTGGCTGCCCAGTACCTCCCTCTGCCATGGGTCCCTCTCAGACACTCCATCCTGGAGTGACTCTATCCATGGAGCTTCACACACAGGCTCAGCCCAGAGCTGGCCACAGGCACCCAGGCCCAGGGGCCTGAACTGCTGCCGGGAGCTTACCTTAGCAGGCCTCCCCTGTCTGCCCTCCCACCTTGGGCCTAACAGGCCACGCTGAGCTTGGACCGCACAAGGTTGTTCCCTGCCATGGCAGGTGGGGGTCCTGAGGGTGTGCTCACTGCTGTCAATCCCCCAAAAGGCCTGTCTGCCTAGTTGGCTCTGTTCAGGTAACTGGGGAGAGACCTAGAGGGTTGGTGGGGCCGGGGCGGGGAGGGGTCCTTTCTCAGTCTCTGAACTTCCCTTCCGAGAAAACACAGGAAGCCCTCCCCCAGGGCAGGTCCCCAGCCTGCACACCCAGGACCTCCCGTCCCACTACCCTGGGCCTGTCCCTCTCTAGCCCTGGTGCCCTGTACAGCCTAATAGCCATCCCTTTGTAGAAGAATTTCTCCCTACTCTAAAAGAATCGACCTCAGAAGTGGCACAGGGAAAAAAACATGTGGGCTCAAGAGTCAGAGCATCTCAGTTTGGGGATCTGGTTCCCCGCTTAGTGGTGTGTGGCCATGGAAGAGTTATCTCACCTATCTGAAAAATAAGTGAGATGTCAATGTAACAAGTGTGGAGATGCTGGGCACACAGTGAGATTTCAAATAATAGTTCATGAAGATAGAGCCTTACTGTGTGTGTATTCAATTCTCACAACAACCACGTCCCATTTTCACTAAAGGGGAAATAGAGGCTCTGAGCATTGCCCATGGCCACCCACTTAGAAAGTGACAGTTTGGGCCAGGCTTGGTGTCTCACGCCTGTAATCCCACCACTTTGGGAGGCTGAGGCGGTCGGATCACCTGAGGTGAGGAGTTCGAGACCAGCCTGACAAACATGGAGAAACCCTGTCTCTACTAAAAATATAAAATTAGCCGGGCATGGTGGTGCATGCCTGTAATCCCAGCTACTCAGGAGGCTGAGGCAGGAGAATCGTTTCAACCCAGGAGGCAGAGGTTGCAGTGAACCGAGATCGCGCCATTGCGCTTCAGCCTGGGCAACAAGAGTAAAACTGTCTCAAAAAAAAAAAAAAAAAAGTAAAAGAAAGAAAGTGACAGTTTGAACCTGGCTTTGCCAGACCATAGGCCTGGGCTTTTCCTGACAGGTCACTGTCTCTGGTCAGTGGGGGGACTGCCTGGTTGCCTAGTCCATCCCCACCTGCCACCCTCCCATAGCCTCAAGGG